GTCAGTTCAGCATGTTTCACGTTTAATACTGGAGAGCCTGTCGCCAAATGCTCTGCACAAACAATCCGGCGCTGCTCCTTGGTAAGCTCGGGGCGCTCGGAGAGCCCCCGGCTCCTCGTGCTGCCCAGGCTTTACCAGCACGGCTCTGCTTTCCCTCGCCTCTGCGCAGACCTGGGTGATGCCCGAAGGCTTTCTGTGGTGGAAGGTGGTGTTTCGATCAGGCATTTTATAAGGTGTTTATCAGAAGCCTGGCTAACAGCTACTGCATCTTCCCACGGCTATTAGAGGGGTGTTTAAACAAAAAATGCTCTGAATTATTTCTGCACAAGGAATTGAGCTGCAAGTTGTCACCTCTGCGGTGGCACGGCCTCGTCACGCGGCCAGGCAGCGCCTCCCGGGAGCAAAATCAGTGATTCGGGGGTGGCTCGTCACGGGTACGAGGTGGCGGCAACTCGGAGAGCCTGTGCCCTTCGCAGGAGCAGAGTCGTGCCGCTACGACAGCTCTCGCCCTGCCCTGAGCGGGGAGCTTGGCTGGAGATGCTGCCTGTGGGATGGTGGTGAGCAAAAGCGGGACCCCTGAGCACGTGTGGGACCCCCGGGGCCGCAAAGCCCCTGTGCTCGCCCCGCTCTGCGGGGCTGATGGGGATGCGGGGCTGGGTGCGGGTCCTCCCCCATCGAGGGGCAGTGCCATCGCAGCAGTTCCCGCACAGCTCCGAGGCTTTCCAGAACTCGTCTTTATTTTAAAGAATCAGTTCCAAACGTAAACCTCCACATCTTGAAGGGCGAGCGCTCTGCAAGGTGCATCCTGACAGCTAAGTATGTGTGAAATGCGGCTTGGCAGTGTCTCCAGGCTGACGTCGGCGGCAGAGGGTGCAGCCCCGTATCGGCAGCAAGCGTTTGCACCGGGAGCTCCTGGGGAAGGGTGAGCAGGCGGCTGGAGCGGGGGCTGATGCTCGGCCAAAGCCGTCTCCCTTTTCTTTTCCATCCTCCTCTCTCTGGAGGAGTGAGGGGATGGGTGACAGACCCGATGAGTGTTTTGCTGTCGTTTAAATAGGGACGTGATTAGACTTTAAGTGATGGGCACCTGGTGGAAACAAGGTGACACGTAAAAATTATTGAAAACCCTCATAAATTGCTTTTTCCCCTAATAATTACCATGGGTCCAGCTCTCCATGGTGTAGGTAACATGTGCGAGTGATTTATTCTATTGGGGATTATAACAGATGCTGTAAAATCATCTTGTGAGGATTTGAAAATCATCTGTCTGTGTCTGGCGTGTCTTAGCACGTACAGGAATGCTCTGTTTGGGGAAGTGAGGTCCTTATCCTGATTTATCTTGAGGTGCTTGTAAATGTTACTGTAATTTCATGTTATCAAATCATTTAGCTCTTCCTCTTCCAGAACTAAGTTATTTTATCTCATGCACCTTGTTTACTTCAAATTAACCCTGAGGTTGGCCTGAAGTTGCACCTTGTTATTCCTCCACCTCCTGTCTCCATCTTAGGCTCTGTTGGCAAATTTGAAGGTATAAGTAAATACTTTTTTGTTATTAATAGAATAACTTCCCCCTCCTACACACACGTTTTCTTTTCATTCCAGTCTTCGTTTTCCATGAGAAACTCACATTGCAGTACAAGCGGAAACCTCCCAAATTGCATGAAAACGCCTTAATTCTCCTAGCAACAAGGTCAGGGCTCAAATCCAGGACCTTTCCATGAGCGTGGGGGAAATGGCCCTTCCAATTACCTGCTCCCCCTGCGCTACGGATCCGGTCGGTTCATCAGCACCTGGGTTTGGGTGGATTTGAAACTCAGCCATGGTATTGTTTAAAAATTCTCCATTCATTGGGGAAGGGTTTGTAGCAGGCTGAGCCCTGAGAAACCTGGGGCTGGTTTTTATGGCTTCCCATTGAAACCTGGTGGAACCCCGTGGTGTCGACTGATTTCCCCCTTCCTCGCTCATGTGGCTTTGATCAAACCCAGGGCTCGGAGAACGACCCCCCCCAGGAACTGGAACCACTGAGCTTTGCCCAGTTCTGCCGTTCATTAAAGCGTTTGTGAGCTTCCAACTGTAGATGATAAAATCAGGAGCTTTGTGCCCAGCCTGGCGTGGAGATTGCCGG